TAAGACATCACCTATTAGGGGTTCAAAATATCTAATAATAGATGGAGAATCAAAACCAACATAAATTCCAAGTCTATGTTGAGGACCCATTTTAGTGCATTGGGGTGGTGCAATTGGAACATATACAGCACAACCAAAAACTCGTATGTGAGAGATATTTGGTTGTTGACCAAAAACAAGTTGTAATGGTGAGTACTTATGATAAGCAATTGGTCTTATACGAACTAATGATGCAGCATGTAATATGGCATGCCCCTAAGCAGAAACATGTAATTTTGTTCGCATAAGCAAAGGACGACCAATTAACTGAAGTCTTTTAATAAAAGATTCAGCCATACCATTTTGAGTATGAGTGTGTGCAACAGGGTGTTCAACATTAATTCCAATTGACATGCAATAATCATCAAAAGCTTGAGAAGAAAATTCAGCAGCATTATCAAGACGGATTGTCTTAATTGGGTAATTAGGAAAGTATGCCCGTAATTTGATGATTTGAGCAAGAAGTCTAGCAAATGCAACATTTCGAGTAGAAAGCAGACAAACATGTGACCATCGTGTAGAGGCATCAATTAAGACCATAAAATAATGAAATGGTCAACAGGGTGGATGAATTGGACCACATATTCCCCCGTGAATTCGTTGTAAAAATAGGGGAGACTCAACAACGACTTTTGAAGGGGACGATCTGATAATCAACTTACCTTGTGAGCAGGCGGTGCATAGATGATTATTTGGTAAGATGATTTTTTGATCCTTTAGTGGGTGTCCATGTGAATTTTCAATAATTCGACACATCATTGTACTTTCCGGGTGACCAAGTCGACATGCCAAAGCATAAAAATTTTGGGTCACACGATTTTTTATGTATCACAGCATTTGACTCAATTATCCTAATGGTTGTATAGTATAAACCAAAAGAGAAAATAGGGAGTTTTTCTAATATCTGCTTCTTGCATAAGGTAATGGAAGTAATGTAGAGATATTCCACATTTCTTTCATTTGCGGTCTCAATATGATACCCATTACGACGCAAGTCTTTAAAACTCAACAGATTTCTCTGAGATATTGTAGAATATAAGGTATCATTGATTTGTAATCTTGTTCCATGTGGTAAAATGATGTTGGCTAGTCTGGAGCCTTCAATCAAGTCGGTGGGACCTGATATTGTACTGACAATAGGGTCTGTCAAAGTTAAGTGAGAAAAATATTTTTGATCTTGAAAGATTGTGTGTGTCATTCCACTATCTGCAAGACATATATCTTCTCCATTTATTTTGGAAATAGTCAGATCCATTCCTATTCATGCAAATTTCTTTATCAGAAAAGAAACTTTTATAACAAAAGAAACTTTAATACAAACTAGAAAATAAAAACTTTAATACAAGAAAAATAAAAACATAGTAGACAGAACATGAAAAGAAAATATGATTAATTGGTGTGGACATTTCCATCACCAATAAGGAAGTCTATCTTTCCATCACGATCCTTAAAAAAATCTGATACATCCAGATTTGTGATGTCAACTGGCTCACCATGATCAATGAAATTCATTTCTTTTTGTTTCCCCTTTTCTTTCATTGAGGCTTGGTAAAGTTCAGCCAGATGCTTAGGTGTACGACAAATGCTTTGCCAATACCCTGTCATTCCACACCGATAACAAGTATTATCATGTGTCTTGGGAGGTTGAGCCACATCCTTCCTTTTTACTTGTTTCATTTCATTATAATCTCTTCTTTGGGGATATGGTGTGGATCTCTGATTGCGAAAATTTGGGGATTGATATCATTCACGGTAATAGGAATGATTTCTACCACGACCATATTCATTATTGTGGTAGTTATTTTTACCACGACTATATTCATTAGTATAGCCATTTCTACCACCACGACCACGTCCACAACCACGGGATGAGGCAACATATGTTTCAAGGATCGGTGTCGATACAGTTGGACGGGACTGGTGGTTTCTTAATAAAAGCTCGTTATTTTGTTCTGCCACAAGTAAACATGATATCAACTCTGAACATTTTTCAAATCTACGCTCTCGATATTGTTGTTGTAAGAGTACATTCGAGGCGTGAAATGTAGTGAATGTTTTTTCCAACAAAAGTTCATCAGTGATAGTATCACCACACAATTTCAATGTAGAGCTGATTTTAAATAGGGCAGAGTTGTATTCAACCACAGTTTTAAAATCCTGCAACCGCAGTTGCTACCAATCATCCCAACCCTTTGGGAGGATAACTGTTTTTTGATGATCATATCTTTCTTTCAAATTTTTCCACAAACACAGTAGATCTCTTTCAGTGAGATATTCAGTTTTTAGCTCCTCACTAATATGGCGCCGAAGGAAAATCATAGCATTCACTTTATCTTGTAATGATGCATCATTTTCTTCTTTAATTGTGTTTCCGAGGCCCATAGCATCTAAATGGATCTAAGCATCCAGAATCAAAGATAAATAATTTTTGTCAAAAATGTCTAAGACCACGAATTTCAGCTTTGTCAAGTTTAACATTTTCACAATAACTAGATGTGACAACAATATAAAAATACAATTTGGCATAGTATATAAATAAATAAAATAGCATTAAGTGAAACAATAACATAATATGAATTATTTAAATAGCAAATGTGGTAAAACCAGCCATAGTGAATAAATTATTAAACAATAAATGTGGTAAAATCAATCATAAATTATTAAATAATAAAGGTGGTAGAACCGACCATAATTAGTAGATCATGAAATAATAAAGGTGGTAGAACTGACCATAGTGTGAGCACATATATCATTTAAGTGTACAAATTTATTTTATGAACAATAATCAATAATTAAAATTTTATTACTTTTTGGAATCAGGAATACAATTTTCTTCGATAAAGCAAACAAACCCAACAATCTATCAAAACTAATATCACAAAAGAGATATATAATTGAGATAGAAAGAGGGAGAGAGAGCTTCTTCTTCAAATCTGAGATGGATAGAGTTTTGTGCTGATAACGTGTAATATATATATATATATATATATATATATATATATAGAGAGAGAGAGAGAGAGAGAGAGAGAAGATAATGCTTATTTATAGGCACACAATTCGTGGGCAGCAAACAGCTTCCCATGCAAGCTTGCTGCCATTTCCAATATGCCTCAATTTTCCACACATGTGGACCCCACACAAGACACACACACACACATAACAAAAACAAAGAAAATCACTCCATCCGCTAAGCCACGATGTATTCTTGTATATATACGACAATGAACATATATATTATATTTCTAAGAGTTGTCATCAATTCACTCTAATTTTATTTATTATTATAATCTACATTTATTTAATTCTTTAAAAATGACACTTTTGACTTGTGTTATATATATTTTTTATTTTTACTTTCTCTTCTCACATTTTATATAAAAATTGAATTTTAATGTATTTAATTTTAAAATATATTATTGTTCATTATAATTATTAAAGTAAATTGCAAAAAAGGCTCATGAACTATGTTCAAATTTGCAAATAACCCCCTTAAAATATATTTTGCGCATAAAACTCTTGAACTATCACATTTAATTGCAAAATGTCCCAAAGCCTTTACTATTTTTCATTAAACGACCATAATACCCTTTTTTTATTGGATTGCACTTAATGTATTTTTCTTATTGAAATAAATTATGAAGAAACTTCATATTAATTTGAGAAAATATTCTCCATTAAATTTGCATAAATTTACCTTTAATTTTTTTAATTAATTGTTTAAATAAAAACTTTAACTAGAAAATTTAGAACAATTTAAGTATTTTCTTAATTTTTCATTAATATATCACATAAAAAAGAAGGTATTTTTTATTTATGTAATTTATTACTTTTTCATGAATATATTGTATAGAAAAAGATAATTATTTTTTTTTTACTGTAAAACTGTTTAAATCAAGTATAATAAGTTTTATTATAAATAGTAAAATTTTAATAATAAGTTAATAATTTTAAAAAATGAAAGTTACAATTTTTTTTTCTATTTTATGATAAATTGGTACTAATAATAAATTAAAGTGAATGTATAATTAATATTTAAATACGAGAAAAGATAATTAATATAATTTAAGAATGACAAATTTAATGAGAATGGGTAAAATTGTCTTTTGTGATGGTTTTGTCCTTAATTGCAACAAATTAATAGTTCAAGGGGATAATTTGTAATTTAGGAAGATTATTTGCGAAAGGCCAATACTTGAGGAGGGATTTTTTGCACTTTTTAATAAGAGTAATAATGTAAAATCGATAAATAACTTACTACTTGTGTTAAATGTCTTTAAAAATTCAATTAAAATTATTAAAATTTATTAAAAGTTTATTTTTGTTGAATTACATTCATGATATGTTATGCTTCATATATATATATACATTTTTCTTTTTCTTTTTTTTTGTACAATTGACTAAAATTATAGATATATACATATAGGTATATTTTTCTCTTCCACATGTTATATATAGTATGAATGCTTATTTATTTAATAATTAAATTTATTTTGTTCATTAATTAACAAAAACAAAATTAGGATCGCAACTTAAAAATTACAAATAAATTATTGCTTGTGTTAAATGTTCTTCAAAAATTCAATAAAAATTATTAAATTTTATTAACAAATTATCTTTATTGGATTATATTGTAAAAAGATAGGGATCAGTGCATTTTGAACCCCATGTGCGTGTTGGAAAAAAATTCACAACTCTTTATAATCGATTCCGTTACATAGCGTCGACATTGCGAACTTTGCTCTTAACAGCTTTATTATTATCAACTTCATATTTCTTGTTCTTAAGACAATAAGAGGTCTTATAAAGTTGGACAAATATGGCTGGTCTTCATTTAGAAGAAAATGGATCATGGATATATGGCTGCGCTTCATTTAGAAGAAAATGGATCATGGATTTTCTTTTCCCCGTCTGTTAAACTTTTTTTCTGGTTGAAAGCAGAAGGGTAATCTTTAAGTCGCATATTCGAGATGAGAAAATAATTTATCACCAAACAAAGATGATTTTGTTCTTGTCTTTAAACAGAATCACCCTCAATATCCACAAAACTAAAGCATACACCAAATGGTAAACAGGACATCAAATAATCCAAAGTTACCGCAACAGCAGCAAACTAGCTAAAATCAGATAAAGAACAAAATCCAAAGCCTTTACACCAGTAGACTCTACAATGCACTGGTTGAAGAATAAAAATGAGAAAAGGAGAAAAAAAAAAAAAATCAGAGTACTTAATTTCAAGCCGCCAAATTTACCAAACACTCATATGCTTAAATGTTCTTCTCTTGGTAAGCTCTGAACAGTATCTGACCATCTTCCGGGTGAGTGGTCGCTGCTATTGGAAGACACCTGAGCTTCTGCCCTTGTCTCCCTGATCATCCTTAAAACCTCCCTCATTACCGGCCGGTTCTCTGGTGCAAGTGAGACACAAGCCACGGCAATGCTCAATAGAGCCCCAAGTTTCTCCTCCGACGCCTCGTTACTTGATGCAGGGTCATCACCTGACTCAGTCTCTTCTTCTCGGACTGATCGCACCCACCTGGAAATATCTGAACCATGTTCTTGAACAAGGTCTTGGAAAGGAGTCTTGCCAGTTAGCAGCTCCAACAGAAGAACACCAAAGCTGTAGATATCAGCTTGTTGGGTGGGTGGCTTTCGTATGTCACGGCATTCAGGGGCTCTATAGAACAGGGAAGAAGCACTGGATTCTTCATGTGACTCTGGATTTTTAAATGAGGTGAGGCCATAATCTGTGAGGCAGGACTCGAAGTCAGACCCCAACAGTACATTGGAGGATTTCAAATTCCCATGGGTAAGGCCAGGATTCTGGTGTATATAAAGCAATCCTGTAGCTAAGTCCTCTGCTATTTTCAGGCAGGAGGTCCAGTGGAGAGGCTTTCCACCACTGGAAGCTCTAGATCCTGCAAATGTAGTAGTTACAATTGTTAATGAATCGTACAATTAAAGAAATTTATAGAGAACTTGATACAGAGTACAGTCAGTTATCTCGTCTGAGTCTTAACCTAATTTGGGATTTGGCCAAAAAGGCCCAGGTGATTCAGTTCAGTTTTGAAGCCCACATGCAACAAAAGAACGTACAGTTGCAATGCAATTTGTGATCAAAGAATGATATGGCATTCAGTGTGGACATTTATGGGTTCTGGTGCATGCATAAAGAAAAACCTTCTTTTCTTGGAGCACTTGGCTTTAGACATAGGGGTGCTGGTCATGTGGAGTAGCCCCATATGTAATGTAGGGTCCTCTGCTGGATAAAGAACCAAGATTGAACAATTCTTCTCTCCAAAACCAAAGAAACAAACTTCTTTGGTTTTTGCTGAGAATGGGATTACACAGTCCTATAACTAGTCATAAATAAACAATTTTTTTTTTTTTTTCTAAAAATAACCCAAGCAAAGAAAGTAATTAAACATCATGGTCCTACATCAATCCTCTAAACTTATCTCCTAGTAGCACTTCGACCCCAAAACCCTCATCTAGAGGAGTTATGCACCAGCAAAACCAATTTGCTTGATTTTCTCTTCTACAAAGTTTTTAAGCCTATTCAATCCTTTGATATGTGATGATATGAACACTCCCGATTTCGGGGCTATTAATTTGTTCTCTGCTAACTTGACAAAGAAGAATGTTCTAGAATAAGAAAGAAGGTTCATTGATAACTGTTAGGGATATTAAACTCACTTCAACCCACTCAACGGTCGGTTGTTGTTGAGGGTTAAATCACTCCTTCATCACACACAGCGGAAACATCATCACACAAACATTTATGTAAATAACAATCATACACATTCACACACAACATAATATTTTACATGGTTCACCCAGCTCTAAGGCTACGTTTATGGAGAAAGAGATTTCACTATTATGAATCAAGGAAGAGAATATACAACCAAATGTCAAAACCCCACTCACTCACTCATCTCTTTTGAGGCTACATCTCTACACTCGAGAATTATATATACTCTCCCCTCTTCTCACAACACTCACTTTTGAACCCTTATATCTTTTATCTCCCTCTCTACGTTAATCTCTCACACCCATCTCCATTTATAGTCTCTTCAAACCCCTTCCTTGTTGGACAAGAAATCTCAAACTTGTCTACAAAGAATTACTATATCAGTCTTCAACTCTAAAATAGCAACTTAATGAAATCACCATTCTGAAGATCAATGACAAAGATGGACAGGTCCAAAAAAGTAGGGCATGTTCATTTTGGCTAAATTCTTCGCAACACACCCTAAGTGGATAGGTCCAAATAACTTGGACATGGACAGGTCCATCTTCTCCAGAACGCTGCATACACACCGAATTCGAGCCATAAAACCCAACATTCTCCACCTTGGTTTGAAATTCATCTTCACGTGCTCCTTCATAGTTCCACCTTGACTGAAGATCTCTCAACCACGAACAAAAAACTCCCACTTCCTTTTTCCTTCCTTTTCCATCTAACAACCTCATCGTTGGTGTTCAATTGCTCATGCATGGCAACCCACCAATCAATCAACTCATCCTCATCAATTGCTTTTCTGGCTTAAAGTCTTTTTCATACCATCACCTTCGCCCATTCTTGAAACTGAGCATACTCCAGCTTGTCCCAAGACTTATTCCTCATGGGCTTCACATTATCACCTTCTTCCTTATCTTTAACATCTTCGTGTTATCATCAACTCCGATTAAATCTCCACAACACCTCACGATCAACCTCCTGCTCTGACAAACTTCACACCAACCTTCTGCTGTGATCTTCAACCACCATCGTCTCTCATATCAGTTGTTAGGGATATTAACTCCCTCCAACCCACTCAACGGTCGGCTGTTGTTGAGAGTTAAATCCCTCATTTATCACACACAGTGGAATTTTCATCATCACATAAGCATTTATGGAGATAACAATAATACATATCCACACACAACACAAAATTTTACATGGTTCACCCAACTCTAGGGCTACGTCCATGTAGAGAAAGAGATTTCACTATTATGAATTAAGAAAGAGAATATACAACCAGATGTCAAAACCCCACTCACTCACCTATTTATTTTGAGGCTACATCCCCACACTCAGAAATTATATATACTCTCCCCTCTCCTCACAACATTCATCCTTAAACCCCTTACATCTTTTCTCTCTCTCTCTTTACCTTAATCTCTCACACCATCTCTATTTATAGAGTCTTCAAACTCATTTCTTGTTGGACAAGATTTCCCCAACTTGCTTACAAGGAGTTACCATATCAGTCTTCAACTCTAAAATAGCAGCTTGACGAACACCGCTCTGGAGCTCATTACCAAAGATGGACAGGTCCAAAAAAAGTTGGACTGGTCCATTTTGGCTAAATTCTTCGCAACACACCCCAAGTGGACAGGTCCAAATAACTTGGACATATCCTTCTCTAGAACACTAAATACACACTGAATTCGAGCCACAAAACCCAACAACAACATCCTGTAGTCATCAGCATGCATTGGACATACGGAAAGCAGATTAATAATTTCAGATCCTTTCTTGCAAATGCTCACAAGAATGAGTTTTTTAATTAGTAAAAACATTAATTTTTCATCTAGATCCATATTCAACAATTAAAATGAATTGACCAGAGCTCGTCATTTAACTAGTTGTGATGTAGGACAAATAGCTTAAATGAGTCTAGAAAAGATTAGAAAGAGAAATAGAGAACAGAATTAGAGGTGAGATAGATGCAGGACAAATAGATGGAGAACAAATTTAATGTAGAGTAGATAGAAATGGAGGTGAGATAGAGAAGAGAAGAGATGAGCGAAAGACTAGACAAGGATAAGAAAGAGAAGAGAAGAAGAATTTAGGGGGAGAAAAATGAACTCAGTTCTATATTTAATCTCAAACAACAGTGCTTATATGAGTTACATGTAGGCCTATTTATAGGCATCAAAAGTTTTCCTTTGCTTATATGAGTTACATATAGGCCTATTTATAGGCATCAAAAGTTTTCCCTAACAACAAAGGAAATACAAATATGTAGGAGTCCTTCATGACTAAAGTTCCCTTAATAACTAAGGAAGAGTTCTTCATGGCTAAGTTTCCTTAACAACTAAGGAAACACAAAATATCTAAGAGAACTTAATAGCTAAGAAAGTACAAAATATCATTGCAAAAACATCACTGCAACAGTCATGGCATCCTAATCAGATTGCAGCCTTTAGGTTAGTCACCTATGCCTCGTGTACGAGTGTAAGCTAGCCTATTGTCACGCCCCACCTATGGAGGTTGTGCCACGCAGGCGACACGTAGACACTGAGGAGGATGCTGCATGGCAACTGCATGGCAAGTGGAGTTTCTAGAGTCTTCCGGAGTTGTCTAGAGTTGTGTGGAAGATTCTAGATATGTGTAGTATATTTTAGAGTTCTCCAGAATTGTGTGGAGTAGTATGGAGTGTTCTAAAATGTTGTAGATACTAGTAGATAAGTATGGAAGTTTGAAGAAGGTGGGAGAAGATTCTAGAGAATCGATCTCCACCGTTGGTTAGAATGCATCATAGCCGTCCATTAGGAATGGGGATGCCTATAAATAGGAGTAAGACTTCATTTTGTAGCCAACAAGTCCTAGAGTGAGTCTTGAGAGCTTTGTAGAGAGTTTGAGAGCTAGCCTTATACAAAGCATTCTTTGAAGTAATAGAAGTGTTCTTTCCTCGCCAACTGAAGTGCCTTAGTGTGTGTGAGTGTGCAAGCCAAGTGAGGAGAGGGCGAGGACTACTACAACACTAGTAAGCGCACGAGAGGAGTGTGTTGGCTAAGGTGTGCACGGGAGTTAAGCTGACCAAGTACTTGCAAGAGTAGAAGCAACGTCTTGGTGCCGCACGGGAATAGCTAGAGTGGTGCTGAAACTCTAAGCCCATGACACTATGCTCTGCATCAAGTTGACTCCATGGTAAGAGATGGATTAAAACCCAAGTGGTCTAAGAGTTGGTTTAGAACTACACTTAAAAGAAAGAGGTCTTGAGTTTGATTTTCTTCATTGAGACTAACCTCACAGGAATTTTTTCTTGATTGAAATCAATGTGTAGCATTGGGGCCTAATATGTGTCTGGAGGGATTAGTCTCATACTTGATGAAAATTATCTGTCCATAACTTTCCATTTTCATCAAGTAATTGTTGTAACTTACCAAAAATATTGATCATACATATGAGTCCCAATTCCCAAATACATTGAATATTGCTAGGCTCAAGCAAATGCTACGTATATATAATACACAAGTAATATCATCATAACAAAGGAAGAGTTCAAGCCTTCATATTCGTACAAAAACTAATGGCAACTCTTATATTCTATTGCTCTAATTAGTCCTGAGGATGAAAGTCATTATTTGGTCATCTCGCCCATGAGGAATGGGATTTGACTCTACGCTAAATAATACATCTAAAGGGTAATGGCAACTCTTATATTCCATTGCTCTAATTAATCTTGAGGATGAAAGTGATTATTTGGTCATCTTGCCCAAATGGAATTTGTGAGATATAAATAATGTAATTGGCTAATTTCGAGGTCAAAACGTGTCCAATCGAATTGTAAATTTTTTTTTGATCTTGAGTCTTGATGTCGGAAGCAGAACTAGAACTACACGTGCAAACATATTTTGGTTCGATGAGAACATCATTTAGTAAAGATATGTGAGCGAGGAAACACGTTGCACTCTATGTTTTAGTCGGATTAGGTTGCAATCGAAGTTTTCAACTTTAAATGTTTTTCAAAATTGCAAACTGCCAAAGTCCGACCAGTAATGACCCACTCCAACACATGGTATGATATTGTCCGCTTTGGGTCTGAGCCTGCACAATTTAGTTCTTGGGTTTTACCCTAAAAAGCCTCATACCAATTAAAGATAACACCACCACATATAAGCACTTCACCTTTCCTTTACTTAAGCG